GCGGGCGGAGGCTTGCGCCGGGGGCGGCGGCCGCGGCCCCGGAGGCCAGCTCGGGCCTCTCCTGCTCCTCCTCGGAGGCCTGCTTTTTGAGCACCTTCTGCGCGGCCATGATCTTCTGGCGTTCGGTGATCAGGTAGCACTTCTCGCAGGTGCACTGCTTCCAGCGGCACTTGCCCGCGTGCCCCTTGACGGGCACAAGGAAGCCATGGTTCCGGCACCGCGAGCACTTGGGGGTGCGCAGCATCTTGTCGGCCAGCTTGGCAAGGTCTGCCTTCATAGCACAACCGCCACCTCTGGGAGCTGCAGAGCGAGTGGAGCGGGGATGAGCCGCGCCCCACAAGTCCCTGGTGCTGGGGACGTTGGATACACTTGTAACAAAGCGGCTCTCAGTACGTTCCAGGAACTGCAGCAAGACCTTTGCATTTTCCCACCTCTTTTGGGGTGCAAAATTTGCAGAGGTTCTGTGCCTTGGTTGGGTGCAAGGGATTGGGTTGAGTAAGTTGTTCAAGGAATGCCATTGCATGAATGTCATCTGAGTTGTCTGAAGTCTTAGGCATTTAATTTCCCAAACTTTCTATTCCCGCCACCCCAGAGACAGAAGGTATTTTGTAACTTCAAAAAAGGCGGAGTGATATTCAACGGTCCACAGATTTAAAGCTCCAGACGAACGTAGCTCTCAGTAAACCCATTCCAGTATAAAAGCATCCTAAGCGGCAAACTGCTTCTCCTTCCAAGAACTGCTGCTTCTGCTGAATTTCATTTCTCTCCCCTGCAGAGAAGCAACCATTCGCAGTTGATGCTTCCAGAATATTCTCAGGAGCTGAGTGCAGTGTGATAGTTGCTTAAGGATGTGCCCGTTTAGAAATTCCCATTGCTTAAGAGTCTTGTTGGTATAGGAATGCATTTCTAGAAGATGGCCTATTGCTGTTGTTGATGCCTTCCAAAATAAAGCATACTTACAATGCTTTAATGTAAAATAAGACGTAGGATATTTTAGCATGAGCTTGAATTATTGATTAAGTTTGCAATGAATTTAGTCATCCCTGTAAAGCAACGCAAATCTTGAGACACCTGAAAAGCTGGCCAAAACTTCATAGTCTACCAAGGCCACTAAATTAACTCATTTTCTTGTTTGATAGAAATTTGTGACACCCTGAGGTCTTTTTCTTTTTTTCTTTTTTTTAGGTCCAAAAAAAAGGAAAAAATGAGCCACTCACACCTAAGTTGAAAGCTAATAATCATAGAATCGGGAGGTAGTTATGGTTACCACCTGGCTAAAACATGTGCATATTAAATGGCCCTGTCTCTGAAATTCTCTCTCTGTGATAGCAGAATGCTAGAAGTGGAGGCCTGGGGTCCTTGATTTTCCTGAGCCTCTGGTTGCAACTCAACTTTACATTTCTCACCAGCTGCCTAAGAATAGGAAATGGTTGCCATTCTGAGGCTGATTAGATGCTGGAAAGCTGACAAGAGATTTGTAAAGCCTTTTTCTGCTTTAAAGAAATATATTCATCATCTTAATAAGAGGGCAAAAGTATATGCTTCCTGTATTATTTGGCCCTTCAGGAATTTCACTGGTAATTTTACATCCATTTAAAGAGATCTAGGATTGTCTCTGCTTTGCTCTAATGAAACCGGCAAACAGTTAGCCATTGATGATTAAGCAGCTGATAACTATGGGGGATTGGAATTGGCCACTTCAAAATATGTCTCTGCCTGAAAGACACTTTGGCCCCCACCCCCACTAACTGACCAAAGCAGTTTGGGATGGGAGGCCTGCCCCCAGAACAGGCCATTACCATAGACATCTCCGGTTATCTGGGAGGGTCCTTGCTAAGCCCATTCTTAGTTCTAGTTACCCTTTTTAAGATACATTTACATTTGTAAAGGAAATCTCCATCTGTAAAGCTGTCTTCTTCCCTGTACCAGGAAGAAGGGGGGGATGGCCTTACCTAGAAACTTACCAGAACAGAAGGCAAGGCGAGGACTTAAATCTGCATGATAAACTTACGCATTGTTAACTGTGCTGTTTAGGCAATATGCTAACCGACTCCCACTAGGTTCCTATAGATGACATCTCCCTGGAGCCTGGGTCACCATGGTAATGGGTGTTTGAGCTATTTTTTTTTCAGGAATTGGAACCCCTTGTCCACTTCAGGCCGGTTGAGACCACCAACCCATCAACTGGGCCCATGCAGACATGTGTCTGATAAGCGACCTTTGGACGTTGGGAGGTTAAAGCCCCACCATCAGGGCAAGCTGACGCCACCATTCTGTGAACATGCCTCCTACGAAGAGGCATGAAGCCCGACTACGCTTGCGCAGATCATCAATTACCTCATCTCTCCTCACCTCCAATCATGTCAGACCACCTTGCCCCCTACCCCATAAATAGCCCTGAGTCCCTATTTTCAGGGAAGCGGATTTGAGATCCCTTTTCCTGTTTCTTAACTTGGCAGCCCTGTTGTTATTAAACCCTCTCTCTCTCTGCAATCTCATCATCTCAGTGTTTGGCTTTCTGAGTGGCTGGCAAAAACGGACCTGGTGCAGTAACACTAACGCCCTCTATCTTAATTTTTGATTTAAAAAATATGGTCCCACAGATAAAAGGAGGGGCAAGCTCTTTTTCTGACCCCACCCAATTCAAAATGTCTAATTTTTTCACTGATCTTGTCATTTGAAAATAGTACTTATAAATTGTAGTTTCAATACTACTGTCAAAAAATCTGGGGCATAAAGCTGTATTGTTTCATGATACTGCAAATTGTAAGATCGTTTTCTGCATTATCATATTTAAATTTTAACATCAGATGACATGGGACGATAAGGCCTAAAAAAGAAAACTAATGTCATTTACATTTCTTGCTTGACCACTCAAGCTCTCTTCATTTTCCTATTAATGATTTAAAGAAAAATCCTATTCAGAGGCAACTATCTGAATTAACATATTTTAGCCTTGTTAACTACAAAATGCTTCCATATTTACTTCCTAGCTTTAGGGGCCAAATATACCCAAGGTGATGTGAATTTGCATAGTGCTTTGAGAACATTAATAAACAACCATGTATCTTTTTAATCAGTAGTCACATTATAAGATGCAGAAACCCCAGGGTTTATATGGTAAACAAATCTAAGAAAAAAAAGACTAGTTTATTTCTCTCTTCCCCCCAAAGTCTCAATTTGTGTAGGTAAATTCCAACAGAGCTTTATTTATTTCACTCTTGGAAATTCAGGCAAATTGGTAGTTTTGTTTTATTTAGGTTGATGACTGATTACTTCAGGGGCTGCTGCTTTTTTTTTGTTTGTTTTAACATACTTTTCTTTAAATTGTTATTTTAGAAGATGGTAATGACTTAGAAGTGAAAACTAGAAGTCAAAAAAGGATGGGAGCAGGGAAGGACCCCTTCCGTCCCCACACCTAAACCTTAGGATATTTATGTTTAAGGAAGTCTGCATCATCATAAGCAATGGTTTATAAAATAACAAGTTATCGTTGCAGGAATCACCAGTTTGACTAATTAACCACAACGGGGCTGGTTGGTGGTCATATTTGACTTCCAGCGTCAGATATGGCCCTTTTTCCCTCAGAATCCCAAGTTTCCTATCTTGAATAATGCCTCTTCCTTCAGTTAATATGATTGCTATTTGTACTGTTTAATTCATATTCATTTTAAAGAGCCTTGTATTATGCAGTGCACAGGGGTATCATTTATAATCATTAAATATTGTATCATGCATTGTACTGTTTCCTTACTGGGAACACACAAGAGTAAGGAAGGGCTTTTTCGCCTATGGCATCTTTCCCCCAGCAGCTATAACCCAGATATCTGCTATCTTCCCCTTCTTCAATCTCTCTCTAGTGAGCAATGAAAACTTTATTGAAGATTTTGTAGGGGATGGAGGGGAGGATTTACATGACTATCCTATAGCAGATGCTTTAAAATCCTGCCTTAGCATTTCTATTCTCTCAAGAGCCTCCTCTGCCATGCCACACCCACTGGGGAGAAATGGTTTGTTCATGCCCCCTGCAACAGTACCCGACCTTCCTAGCTTCTCTCTCCTCTCTTGATTTTTTGAGAGCTCTGTAACAGCTGTGTCTATCTTATTTTCTGTTATGTCCAGAACAAAATAGACATTCAGTCACTATTTGTTGAATGTACAAATGAACCTTGCCTCCTTCTTCTGCCAGTGTCAAGGTTACCTCCTCTCTAACTGGCAAGGTAAGTCAACTTGGCTTCAGCAACTTTGCCCGAACATCAAACAAAACAGAGCCCAGAGTGAACCAGGACCTCTCTCTTGACAAGCAGAATTTGAGGATCAACTTTGGTTCCTTGAGCTAACCTCCCACCCCTAATAGTTTAGTAATAGTAATAATAATAGCTGGCACTTACCAAGTGTTTATATGTGCCAGTAGTTCTTAAGTCCTTTATGTGTATTAATTCATATCATCCTCACAACAACTCTCTAAAGTAGGGACTGTTATTTTCACCCCCATTTTACACAGGAGGCCTAGAGAAGGTGAGTAACTTCCTAAGGTTTTCCAGCCATTAAGTAGCAGAGCCATGATTCAAAACCAGGAATTCTAGCCTCAAAGTCCATGTTCTTAACCAAATATCTGCTAACTCAATATTTCTTCTAAACTAAACACTGTGTTATCCCCAAGAAAACTTTGGTGATGAATAGAAAATGTTTGTCTTTATTACATACCCATTACAGTTGGGGCTATAAGGGAGCAAAATTTGCCACCCCAAAGTGTGTTTCTTTGGCATGAGGATTATTTTAGGCTGATTATTTTTAAGAAACAGAAGACTCAGGAAGTTTTTCTTTTCACCTCCCCCTTAACTGCCTAAAGAATTTAGATAGGGGGCCTGTTCCAGGAAGATGAGCTATCACCAGAGACACCTACAAAGAATATGAGCCAAATGTGGTAGATGGGGGGGAGCTTAGCAAGGCCTGTTTGTTCACATTTCTCTCTGTATCCCATTGTCTCTGCATGGCATGGCAAACATTTGTTTACCAAACATTTGTTCTTCCCATCTCCCTGTGAACTGTCTTCCTCCTCTTTGAAGTCCCAGACCCCATCTCCTCCTCCTTAGCTCAAAGTAGCATATAAGCCTCAATTGCCTGACTGTTTTGGGGCCTCATATTCTTATGAAGCCCCCATACGTACTCAAATTAAATGTAATCAAATTAAATTTTCTCCTGTTAAACTGTCTCATATCAATTTAATTCTTAGACCAGCCAGAAGAACCTAGAAGGGTAAAGGAAAAATTTTTCCTCCCCGATAGGGCAAAAGGGGGTGAACGTGGTAGCAAC